ATTATACAGGACTTGAAACAGGAGATAATAAAAATCGGTTCTCACTACTCCAAGTATATTGAGAGAGAAAAACGCCTTGAATTGGGGAATAGCAAAATCATTAAAATAATTGCTCCTTATGATAAAATGTAGGCGCTATTTATAAAAATGAATAGTCATGCCTGAACAGCCACCATTACAGGTAGATGATTTTCTTCAAAATGAAATGGGACCACTATGGAGGGACCCTCTTCCCAACAATAAAAGAATCATGAAAATCGGTTAACAAATACCGGAGTTATCGCGTAACATACATACGAAAACAGTCGAATTGAGAACCTCCTCCTTTTTTGAAGTCGGTTAAAAATTTAAGCATGTTTTAGATAAAGAAGTATGGAAAGACAACAAGAGTCTAGATTCCACACAATTATGATTCAAAGTGTATTCCATAGCATTTAAGTTTATTCGAAAAGAGCAATTCCTAGAGTTTCTTGCTCGTTCTTCACAGGAAAGTAAGCATAGTAGCTTACCATCAGGAACACTACTTGTTCGTCCCGTCACTTGATATTATAAAGAAAAAAGTTAAACCAGAGAATAAATAGTACAAGAAAGTGATTGGTAGAGACATTTGGGTCAGAGGTCTACTCCCACTCTCCGAACCGCCATCTGTCCGAAACAATTACAGTCAAATAAGTAATACTCGACTAAATTAAAAAAAAACAACTCGAAAAAATTCCTTCGATCCGGCCGGATTCTAACCGACGTCTTCTAACATACCGTGCCAGACGCTATACGAACTAAGCTTAGTGTTCGATCTTTGTATTAATAATTATAACTAAGTAGTGGAGTAATTTCACAAAAATAATAGAATAGCGGTAGCGCAAAGAGCGATTCGACATAAGTCTCGAATTATGTGCACGAGACGATCAGGCACGCCGAGATTGTACAGCTTGTAAAGTAAGCCGTTGTGCCAGACTTTGTAGAAAGCTTTTGCCACATCGAAGAAGAGGGCGCCGGTGGGCATGAAGCGGGGGCGATCGAAACCTTCGGAGATATGCTCCACTATCCGGTGCACTTGCTGGACGCATAAATGCCTAGCTCTAAAGCCTGTCTAAAAACTGTTCGTCGGGTAGGAGGTTGTGGAACATGACGTAGTCTCTGAAGCGGGCACACAGGATGCGCTCATAGAGTTTGACCATGGTGTTAAGCAGGGAGATGGGACGGTAACTTGACGGTTCAGATGGAGGTTTCCCGGGCCTGTTAACACCGATGAGCACCACCTCTTTCCACTTTTGCGGAAAGATGCAATTGGTCAGAGCGGTGTTAAAAATTGCAGTCAGGAGACAGATGTGGGGTGCAGAAAGCTGTTTAAGCACCTTGTTGGACCTGAGGCTTTGCGGGGCTGAAGGTTCTTTATTGGTCCGCGATTCTACTTCCTTTGGGGTGACCGGGGGGAGAGGAGGGTCGGAGGGCGGGAGGGTTGCTCTGAGTTCGACCTCGGAGTCCACCTGGAGGAGATGGCGATGGATGGAGGCTCTAAACTTAGTATCCCCCCAAGCAAACAGCACCCCTATTTATAAGGTGATATCCCCACAAGTCTGCCCACGTGCCGTTAGCCGACCATCTCGTAAACAACGTTGTAAAAGAACAGCTGCTTCTTAGTGCTAACGACTGAATGCTATGGCTTTGCAAACAATTTACGGAGCCAATTATATCACTTGTACTAATGACTGCACAGTTGCATACTCGTGACACGCCAGAGAAAAGAGTGCCCCACTGCTCCGCTGCGCGCTGGTTTTGTACCGTTTGCAAAAACAAGCCGTTTACTCCTGCACGTGCTGTTTTATGCGCCATAACAGGAAGCGCACGATGGCGCCTCCGTTATATTTATATTTGAGTCTAAATTTAAATAAAAACAAAAACTTAAAACGCGTCTTTTTTCCCTAATAACAATAAACGATCTAAAACCGGAATGCGTTCCCTTCACGGAGTAAATAGACTCAGATGGGGTATATGAATGCATTGCTTGCTCATGGTCAAAATAAATATATAATAATCATAATAAAGTATTCTTTAATAATTATTACATACAAAAATCGAACACAAAGAAAAAATCATTAATTGACCCAACAGGACTCGTACCTGCGACCACGGTATTCCGTCTCCATTGCTTTACCAACTAAACTACAGGTCGACGAAATTCTTCTATGTGTCTGTTATAGATCTTTACATTGAATTTACGCCTTTCGACACCGTAAGCGACATCTGTGAGAGATTTTATGTTTGATTTTGTTGTGTTGTGTGATTTTTCTCGGGTTAAGGAGACTGGTATCATGACTGTGGTATCAGTACATTTACTCAAATATTTTATATGCCCGTAAAAATATACATAATTTCAATAAGAAAGAAGATATCCATAATATTAACCTTAGAGTTAAGTCCAAACTCATGGTACTACGATTTCGTTTAACCAAGGTAAACAACTCTTTTATGGGGAATTTATACGTTTTTACAATAAGATTCAGGAGCATATATTAAATTATATTATTATATTATCATTTCCTAAGTTTAAAAACTACATTAAAATTTTTTTGATCGAAAAATCATATTACAAAATTGAAGACTACGAGTTAGATAAAGATGTATGAAAAGACGACATGGCTCCAGAATCCACACAAATTTGATTCAAAGTGTATTCCATAGCATTTAGGTTTATTTGAAAAGAGCAATCCCTAGAGTTTCTTGCTCGTTCTTCTCAGGGAGCTCAGCGTAGCGAACGAGCAGCAGCTTAAATGTGACGTTTTCAAGTGTAATCTTTCACTTTGACTTTGACTTTAGGAACTTTCTCACTCAGCCGGTAACTTTCCAGTTGCCACAAGCTGACGTTGATATCGGTTTTTGTGAACATATTGTCTTCGAAGACTTTTACAAACTTTGATGCATATGTGCATTTTTTATAGGATCTGCAAGAATTAATGGACAACTCTTCACGTGGAGTCATATATTTCAGCATGGGTTCTATAGTAAAATCGTCAGCTATACCAAAAGAGACTATAAATAAATTAATAAAAATTTTCGGGTCGCTGAAAATGACTGTATTGTGGAAACTGGATGACGTGCCCGCGGGATTACCAAATAATATTCATGTTAGAAAATGGTGGCCACAAGCCAATATTTTAGGTAAGTATTCAACTTTTAAATAACCCGCACGATGACTTCTCCGAAGCCATAATCGAATCCTTCAGTAGGACTGATGTTATTGACACAATTCAATTCGGCAACACCGAATCAAAACTTCTGACATCCCCTGGTTACTACTTTTCGTGATTTAACGATACCGATAGCTGATTGTGGTAGATGCAGCCACCACAAGGGGGTTGGGGTGGTGAGGAGCATAGTCGAAGTTTACCCTCGATGCCTGTCTCATGAATTGGGCTATTGTGGGGAGCCGTAAATCTATATTTTTTTTTTTTTTTTTTTTTTATTGTGACTCGGCAAAATGACTGCACCGCGCCTGATGGAAAGTGCGAATACAGTCCAGAGATGAGAGTAACGGATGGAAAACACAAATATCTTCACTCCGTCACTATCATTTTGCCGGTCTGGCCAAATGCTTCTTCACACTACGTTTGAAGGACCCGATGTTATAGAGGGGAGGGAATACATGCGCCGGGAGTTGGTTCCACAATTTGATGGTTCGGCATAAGAACGAATTGCCAAACTTTTTAGTGCGGGACGGTATTAAACTGACCGTCCAACTGTGGCAACGCAGTCCGGCACGGGTGGTCCGCTGATGGAAAGGAGAGGAAGGGATAAGGTTGAATAACTCTTCAGAGCACTCACTCACTCAAATCTATATGGAGGTTAGCGTTACGCAGGTACCACGGTGCACCCGTCGCGTTGCGCATGAATCTATTTTGAAGAGCCTGCAGGCGGTGTATAAGCGCGGGATTTACCTGAACGAATGCGACGCTGGCGTACGTTTAGATTTGACACTCCAGGCAATCTCCGATTGGGGCAATACCAATCTTGTCAAATTTAACGCTACCAAAACGCAGGCGTGTCTATTCTCTACAAAACGGAGTCCCTGTGAGCGGACTCTGACTTTTCGTGATATATCCATACCGATAACCGATTGTCTCCAGCTACTTGGAATGGACCTGTCATCCAATCTGAACTTCAGCAGATACATTGAATCCATAGCCAAAAATGCAGCAAGGAAGCTTGGCATCCTTTCCAAGGTGATGCGTTACTTCACACCGGGATAGGTCCATACCTTTCTACATAAGTTTTGTTTACAGTGCCCCTGTCTATCAACCTCTTAGCACAATTGCCATACAGCTCATAGTTTTATTTAACGTAATGATCGTCATATTTTACGTTTATTTTCAATTATTTCAGCGCACCCTAACGTCCGTCTCTTCATAACCCATAGCGGCGGCCTTAGCACAATCGAAGCAATCCACTATGGAGTCCCTCTTCTCGCCGTGCCTGTGGGTGGCGATCAGCCCGTCAACGCTCGTCAAGCTGAGCTAGCTGGATATGCACGTGTGGTGCCGTATGAACCAACATTTGCCTCAAAGTTGGAGATAGTTTTGACAGAAATGCTAAGTAATGATAGGTGAGCTAATTGTATTTATTTTTTCTCCTTAGTCACCCACACTACGACTACTACTACTATCCAGGAAACTCACTAGAACCAATATAGAACTGCTCGTTACACGAATTGATGTTGTTCCTACATGGACCTTAACACCTGGCGTGCAGAGTAACAAATAACCAATGGCATACTAAGATTGTTAACACGTAACAACCGTTTACATACTTAATTGTTTTTTTTTGTTTGCTACCAAATTTAAAATATGACAGATATGAAGGCGGAGGATATTATAAATTTATCAAAGTGTATTTGATACAATTTCGATTGGCATAAGGTATAAATTTCAATGCTCTGAGACCGACCTTAGGGTATCGCAGAGCATTTCTCTATGCTATATAAAAATATACATAGGATTTGGTAGCAGAATCCGCCGTTATGCGTTGGAATCAAGCGGTATCCGGAATAACTCAATCCAGTGTCGGGTTGTTTGTGTTGTCGATGGTCTCTTAAGCCGGGTACGCACTAGCGAGCTGTAACCGTAACCGTTGTATGTTGATGTTGCCAAAAATCGTAGCGCGTACTTGGTTCGGACCTTGACACGAGCGGAACGCGTGCCATTCGCAGTGAGTCGACTATAGTCAGGTACACATACTAGCGAGTGAAGACTGCTTCACGCGTACACACTGGATCCTCTTTACTGTACCTGTCACGTTATAGATACAGCTCAAATGCGTACTCGGATTTTAAAAAACATTGGCTTTATGTGTAGGTATTTTCTTACCCTCATAAGTGCTCAGGTGAAATTCAAGGTCAAATAAATTTTGGCGGTTGGGAGCAAGGTGTGTGATCCGTACCGCTCTGTGTGTGGAATACGGTGATGGAACACGGTCACCATGGTTAAGTTGCCAAAGATGTGCGGATAGTTTTCCCAGACACCACGCCATAAATGATATTGTGCAACGGGCGATGGTGTCGGCTAATGTCCCTTGCGTGCTCGAGTCCCCGGGTGTGAGCCGAGTCAACGGTAAAATGCCAGACGGTTTGACATGGGTTCCATGGCGGAAAGGTCGTTGTCTTCTGTGGGACGCAACACGTGTAAGTACTTTTGCTGCGTTTTACTTAAGACAAACTTCGCAGTTGGCAGGTTCCGCGGCTGAAAATGCCGTGACACTAAAACATGCTAAATATTCTGCCTTGGAGCCGATGTACGACTTTGTACCAGTCGCGGCCGAGAAGGCCACCCCAGGGGTTCGGGAGCTCGGGACTTGTTTAAAGAGTTACGATCACCGCTCTGAGTCGAGGTTAATTCAGCAAGTGTCCATTGCCGTTTAGCGAAAGTTTTGTGCCGGGTAAGATACGGGGTGGGATTTTTTTAGGTTAGATTAGTTTTTTAGGTAAAAAATCTCTAACAGTTTTTTTATTTTAGTAATTATTGATGACTACGGTGCTGATCTTTGTCTACAAATATTAATGTATCAAATTACACTTGAAATCGTCATACTGACATAAACTTTTCGAACATCGTCACGTTTCCGCCATCCCACCTTCCTCCAAGTAGTAGAGCCGATCTCCACATCATATATAGAATAGAGTTATTTATTTGGGACCATGATCCATGGTAATGTTAGTAATACAGTAAATTTTTACATGCTATGGTTAGTACAATACAAAATTACTTAATTCTAGAGAAATGCCACGTCTAGACCACTACCCTACGCACGTGTAGTTAACAACGGCTAGGATATGCGCACACGCATCATGAGTGAGGCAGCCTTCTTGCGCATAATGGCATGAAAACTATCTGTGTGCGTCTCGGGATGCACTACAGTGTCACGGCAGCCCCATTAGCATCCTAAAAGCGTTGTTATATTGCACCCTTAATGTATTCAGGGTTCTCTGCGTATACTTCTATATGCCTAGCGTTGTAAGACCACGCGGGCATTACATTTGTTGCTTCCCCGACGACGTCTAATGATGTTTATCTTTCTAATATTCCAGTTACTACCACCGAGCGAAATATTTGTCGAAAATTTTTAATAACCGCCCAACACCACCGTCTAAACTAATATCGCACTACGTTGAATTGGCTATTGAAACTAAAGGTAAGTCTGAAGCGATTATTTAAAATCTCTATCAGAAATGGGGAAATTGTAAATTTTTTAACGCAACACGTGATTCTGTAATAGGTATCGTGTGTACAATAACATGTCCTTAACATAACTACCGTAATCGACATTTTATCGAAATTGAGTTATTAACATATCTGGAATCAGCGAAACCAGATCTATATTCAATTCAATTCATTTATTAATTCGTTATTACAGGTACATGATATAGATGGTAATAATAATTTTATGGAATTTCTGCAATAAGCCAAAGTGGCATACGAAGTCAATTAAATAAAAATGTAATGTCAAAATAAAAATAAAAGAAAAATGGATACAATGTCAAAAAACTAATAATAATTAAAAAGTCTAAAAATATTAATAACTAAATGGTACCCAACTGTCAGCATTTACCTATTCTAAGAAACTGTCATTAAAATATTCTTCTATGCTATAGTAACACTTGTCAATTAATAATTGTTTTAATACATGCTTGAATTGCATTCCACTAAGATTTTTTATTGCGTCTGGAATTTTATTAAATATTTCGGGTGCCATGTCAACAACGCTATTTTTGTATAGGGCCGTTTTACATATATTTCTTCGGACCATATATTTCCTGGTACGAAATAAGTGCGCTTGTGAACTTATATAAGCGGTGTAAATTGTGAACTTATAACCCCATATAAGCGGTGTTTTTATATCTTATTTCATTTAAATATGTAAATTCTACATTATACAAATTTATTTTTAACTAATTGTCTTCTCGTGCAGCGCAGTTGTGGTATACGTCGAATACAGGGAAAAATTCCTTCGATCGATCTTTGTTATTATTAATTACAAAGTTCGTCTTAATGTTTCATTTATTGTCATGATACATTTTACTAACCATTGTAATTTCCACAGGAGCTTACCACCTTCGTTCGGCGACGTATTTGTACAAATGGTACGAAAGATGGATGCTGGACCAAGTGGCATTCCTTGTATTGGTACTATACGTGTTGAAGAAAGTAATACAGACAATTTGTAGTACGATGTGCAGAAAGAAACAGGAGGTGCAGATGAAGGAAGGTTTATTACAAAAACAGAAATCAAATGCAGGGCGTAAAAAGAAGGTGCAGTAATAATTTTTGGACGTCTTGAATAAAATTACATTCCAGATGAATTGACTATCTATAATTTTTTCTATTACACACGCTTCCTACCATGAATGAACAAAAAATAGTCATGTTCATTTGTAAATTATTAACATTATCATTAACAAAATTATTAACAACATTGCAAGATTATATTACTAACACTTTTGTTCCATGACTGTTTACAAAATATTTAATATTAATAAATTGACAATTTTTAAATCTTTATTTGGTAGTAACGTAATAAGTTTATAGTATTATAGGAAATTAAACTTATTTTCCATATTTAAATCGCGTATATTTGTTTTTTCAAACAAACCAAAGTTTCGGACCTTTTACAGGTCCCATGGTCACGGTTGACTGAGGTGGTACAGTCGCCAACCAGTTACGTCCAATATTAATGCAAACTACCCTATTTTTTACTATAGTTTCAAAAGTTATTAATTAAATACCTTATTTTTAATTTTTAATTTTTTATTTATTAAGGCTTTGGCAAAGCCATCAGCCTAAACATGAAGTTTAATTGTTTCTGTACATATGGCCGCCACAAAGAGGATAGGCAATTTGAGGCGGCGTGCTTCGATTGACTCGGGATTCCTTAGAACGGGCCGATACGGGTATTTTAGTTCGAGATTCGTATAGTATAATTTCGCCTTTTAATCTTCGATTAAGGTACAATAGCACTATCCTATTCCACTTTAAACTAGATTTCACAAAATAATTAATGTATGTATATGTATATATATATATATATATATATATATACAATGTATGTACACTTATATGTTTCTGCATATATTTAAGTCTAAGTAGTATATGTATGTTGTATATGTTGATATGTTTGTATGCGGCTATTTATTTATTAATATTATTGTTATGTTGTTATATCTGTTAATTGTTTAGTTTAAGTTTCTGTAATGGACGAAAATTTTTATTTTCATTTTTAAATATTATTCCATCGGCCTGCGCGCATGTGTCACGCGATAGAATAATTTGTTAATCATTTGTGGAACATGTTGTTGGTTCATATTTAGTTATTTATTCTTATCAATGTTTGTTATATTTTCTTGTTTAATATGTAACTGTTTGTGTTCTTCTTATAAATAAATAAATAAATAAATAATTGAAAGTCAAAATAAAAACGACACTTTTCCCTCCAAAATGCCCAAAGCGAATCTGTTTAATTTTACAAAGAAACATTCCAATTTACGCTACATTGTTTTACAAATTATTTTATTGTAACAACATGAATTTTTTATTAAGTTAAATTTATTGTATAATATGTAATGGAAATTAGAATACGTTAAAACATATTAATTAGTACTGCATTACTATTTAAATCTGGAAAAATAGTTTCATTTCCTATGTGTAACAGCCACGGCGCTAGTAGTAAGTATATGGAGCCCATGGAGTGCGTCACAGGCGCACCAACCAAACACCACACACAAGACACTGACATTCCTATGTACGCAATCAAATACACACAATTAACAAATAGTGTGTTATGTAATGACTAAATAATAAAAAGGAAAAAACATCATATTCATAATATATGACATATTCATAATTTATTAACATAGTTATTATATAAGTAAATACCATGATTTTTTTATTCAACTATCATTAGATCGATACCTCCAATGAACACTAAGCCAACTTAATTTTTGGACCTGTTCTGTTTTTATTTTGTTTTTTGTTTCTTTTTTCTTACAAAATTCGTTTTTTTTCGTTCTTGTTTCTTTTTTTCACAGAATTCGGGGAGCACAACTAAGATTATATTTATATTAAACCGCCATATTTATTTACTAAGGCAAATAAATATGGCTGTTTACAAAAATAACAGAAGACGACCAAAAAATAAAGATGGCGTAGTGTTCATTGGAGGTATCGAGATTCAACACGAATCAATTTATTACTACGATATTCAATCTAAAATAGAAAGAAACTACATATTTTGCTAACTATAAACGTGAGAGTAAAACGTATAATAAAGGAGTATGACATGATGAGTAAATACAAACATACATACACATACACAGACATAAAAAATCGATTATTTTGACGTTAAAAAATACGAATTCAACACATTGACTTACAAATAAATGGACGACGGGTCTAATACAAAAACCACGAAAAAAATGTCCCATATCAACCTATTCGAAATTTAAATTGTAATGTCATCGCAGTATCGCGCTGTCAGTCGAACAAATGAAGACTAAAGCAGAGTTTGGCGCTCTGTATACGATTTTAGCGCCTTACAAGTCCGGGCACTTTTTAGCGCGGACCCGACGTCCATATAATTGTAAGTCAATGATTCAACACATTTTTTTTAATGAACTCTAAGGTTTTCCAGACAGTTACTTCAATCAATCAATAAAATAATTTATTTGTTACAAACATGGTGGTCAAGACAACAAATAATAGAATAGGTACAAACAATAGCTTAGCAGCAGTAGAGCTCCCTGTAAAAGGGTTCGTCCAGGTAAGTGCTGCCGCTTTATCTATTTCTGCCGCCAAGTAGTAATGGTTTTGAAGGGCGCTGGTCAAATTACAGGCACATGGGACTTGTCAACTTATGTCTCAGGATGACGGGCGCAGCGGCAGTGCCCCTCAGATCTTTGCAATTTAAAGCTCTGAATGGCACTGCAACTGTTATGGACCGGCGTGTAGCTTACCATCCTCTTATTATTCTTAATTTTAGAATCACTAACTGAAGGAAACAATCAAGGATAGCTATAATTAATTAAGATTCAAAAATATCGTCCACCAAACACTTGGGTGCGTGCGCTCAATATGGCCGCCTCCCAAGTGCTTGGTGTTCGTTCTATTCTACTCAAACTACTACAACTGCCTCCATGGCCGAACGGTTACCATGCCGAACTGCGACGCAGAGGTCCCAGGTTCGATTCCCGGACCGGGAGCAGTCAAGAAATATTTATAAAAATAAACAACTTCAAAAATACGTCACGACAATCGTGTGTGTTATTGTTTGGGCTGGTGATTTCGGTGTTTATTTTTTGAAAACATACCGTAAGTAGTGTTTTTTCAGTTTACCCTGAATATAAATGTTTATAAACTATACTTTAAGAAGTAATTTCATGGTAAACGTTAGAACCACTCAAACGGAATATTATCATATTTATCCAAGTACACCAAAAATTTCATTAGTGCTTTTTAAGTGCAGCATTTTATTTGAGATGTTTTTGTTGGTAGTACGGATGATATTTATTTAGCAAATTTTCTAATTTGCGAAACCAAATAGCCGCCATTTTGCGGTAGGAGGAGCGCATCGCGTGAGCGGATCAGGCCATATGATCTTATTAACCTTAAGGACTAACATACATAGGGCTAACACTGGACAATTTAAAACCATCTATTAAGGTTAAATGTTTTGTACTTCGTGATCTCGATGTCTTCTCGTACCAACCGTGGTATGTAGTGACGTTCTGTCGACAGTACCTGGTGCTATGGAACTCGATCCAGTGGTTAGTATCAGTCTGTGTGAGATGTTGTGCTTTTTTTACTGCTCGGATGTGTTCCTACATACGATCGACAATTGTTCGTTTAGTCTAAATTTGTGAATAACCACGAAAGCCTTAAAATCTATACTAGTTCTAACTACTCTACACGAATTGCACTTGTCGGCGATGTGTGGCGCAATCTAGTGTTAGGTAACCGGCTGCGGAATCGCCGATATATGACACCCTCCGGCCAAATCTCCTCCTTCATGAAGGTCGACAAATGTGCAGTCGATACTCTCACCACAAACGAATTAAAATTCACGTTGTGGCCGGACTCCAACCTCTCGACGCTTTGTTGGAAATTAAATTATTTTTTTTTTCTAAATCGAGTATAATATGTTTTCTTCACAAGTCCCCACAGCATATCATCATTCATCACTATACATTCTAAAGTCCGAACGAATTTTTCGATTTATTGTATCAAATATATACTTAGCTATAGAAGTAATATTAACTGTTCTTGTTCAGGACGAAAACGTCGTGTTCGTGCTCAAGTGATTTATTGAGTAATTTATAAGATTGTGATTTGTTATTGTTGTACATATTAGTTATGTTAAGTTCTTGTTATGTTAAGTACAATTTTGGTAAATAAATGAGAGGCAGGCGGGTCTTGCTTGGAGTCTTTATAGTTCTCCCGTCCCGCTCCTACATTGGTGCCGTCCCGCTCGCACACTTGAAAAGAATGCGAGCAGTACGGCAGGCCAACAATAATATAAAAGACGCGAGTGTTGGCAGTGGGAGGGCATTCCAAATCTGACCACGATCCTCAAGAAGATCCTCAAAGAAGTTCAGAAAGTGGGTCGTCGAAGGGGCCCACAGTTCTTAACTAGGTTAGGAACTCTACCAAAATAATATACGTGTAGGTATGTAGAGGTAGTGCAGGGTAACTATGCTATTGGTAGGAATGTGTTCTGTACTTTCTTTCCTAAAGTAAGGTGAGCCTGCATTGGGAGCCACTAATTTCACTGATATATATATTTTATCTTCCAAAATGATGGCTGTCTATACAGTCACATCGGACCGGCGGCTCACAGTAACTGCCGCACGATCGCATTCATCCATTACGTTCATACTCAAAACTGCTGACACATACATCACTCGCACAGTTACAGGGTTCCTACAGTAGAATTAAACTTAGTGGCAGTAACGGCAATGCCTGACTGAAAGAATAATTTTATTCGAGTGTAAAATGTTCAAAGATACTTGTCAGCGACATTCACATAAAAATAAATACAGTAGAAGTATCTACTTCTACTATAGATAAACAATATATAGATAGATAAACACTTTATTCACTGATATAACACAAGCGTAAAAGAAAAAAAACAAAACATGATTGTCATAGCAGTGAAACCTAAGTAGTTAGTTCCGTTAGGCGCTGGTTTTCAGTCAGGACCAACGAGAAGGATTAAATTATTTGATAGCAAAAATATAACGACTATGCGTAAAGTTATACATTGAGAATAATAATATACATAGTAAAGTGCAAATAGTGCATCTAAAATAACCTGCTTGATATGTAAGTACATGAGCGAGTGTGAATATAATTACAGCTGTAGGAGTGAGTTGTGACTGTAAAGAGGTTGTAATGTTGTGTAATGTATCTAGTATATTATTATAATATAATTCTACACATAATGTGAATAGATCAAAGCAACAACAAAAATCGATTCTAGACAGACTACGTTAAAGAATAAAAACACACTACACAGATTTTTGAACATCAACTATGTTGCCGCAGTGCAGTGCTTTCAATTTGGGTTTTTGATGTCTCGTTGCGTATAGGTGGTTGAATATCGTTCCAGCACTTTGAGGCCGAGTATTCGATACTACCTCGAAAAGCTGCAGTTCTATGTTGTTGTACCATAAGTACACATGATCGGACAGATCACTCTCTGTAGCGTACATTAACACTAGATGACCACGTTAGTTTTTCATAAAGATATTCAGGTGTTCTAGTTAATTTGCGTCCGACGCGTTCCAAGTATAGGTCTCGAAAGACCTATTCGAATTCAGTCCGCCATTTTTGTTTTTTAGTTTTATGTAGGGGTTCTAAACTAAGGCTAATTTAGATACTTATTTTTAAAACTAAGTAAATGCATTTATTTACTAATATTTGTATGCGAATATTATATTAATAATAATATGATTTGACTTTTTCATATTCTAACTCATCCTAACCTACTGAACGCAGCGCGGAGTGTGTCGTCAATCGTTAAAAAAAATTACCAATGATAAAATAATAATCTCGGTACAGAGGACTAAAAAAACCGACCTCAAAAGTACGTGGAATTATATCTATATGCCAAGTTTTTTTGAAATCGGTTACCGAAAAGTGCGCAAACCCGGATTCATCCCCTAGTTCGCCACTATGCGGAACTTGACACAAGAGATCGGTTCTCACTACTCAAAGTATACGGAGAGATAAAAACGCCTTGAATTAGAGAATAGCAAAATCAACCATTAAAATAATTGCTCCTTATAATAAAATTTAGGCGCTATTTATAAAAATGAATCTTCATGCGTGAACAGCCACTCTTAGAGCTGGTTGATTTTCTTCAAAATTAAATGGGACCACTATGGAGGTACCCTCTTTCCAACAAAAAAAGAATCATGAAAATCGGTGCACAAATACCGGAGTTATCACGTAACTTACATACAAAAAAAACATACAGTCGAATTGAGAACCTCCTCCTTTTTTTGAAGTCGGTTAAAAAGAGGACCAAATATTATTTTTGAATACCAAATATTAATTTAGTAAGGTTAAACATAATCACTTGGTAACAATCTTGAATGCAGTTCATTTATAATTTATCCGTAGATCAACTAACATAGATGGAACAATTATAATACATAAATATACAACGTCAAACATAAAAAATATCGTTTATTTCAAAAGGTGCACATTAACAATAGATCAATTATTTCTTTGAGGATCAAATAATAATATCCCAATTGTATTTTGGTCTGTAATAATAAATATTTTTTATTAATTTCATTAAGAGGGAGCATGCCAAAAAAGTTTCGACGTTGGCTCCGCCGAAATTTGTGAAACAAATATATGCCTGAAGTTCGCGTGACATGCGACAGGAGATGTTGAATTTTGCGCATTAAAATTACCAAATTCGTATTAGCGGAATAACTCTAAAACTAAAGGGATTAAGAAAAATCCGTAGTGACAATTCTCGATCATGCATAAATATAATTAATTATCTAATTTTTGTCCTAATAACCTGTACCATTTCGAAGATAAATCGAAAAAATGTGAAAATTAGAGGTCATTTCGTGATTTTTATCTATCGAGGAAACTTTATTGTTTTATGTTTCTGATTAGTGTCTATGCTTGAATATATCGTGTAGTTACTCATACAATATTTTATTTTTAACTTTAAAGTGGATATACCCCTCTAAAATCAAATCGAGGATTAGGAATTTTTCCTCTGCTCCCTCTTAAAAGATTATTATTGCACCTTTTTCTTACGCCCGGCATTAGACTTCTGTTTTTCTAATAAACCTCCTATCCTTTCCACCTCCTGTTTTTTTCCGCACATCATAATACAAACTTTCTGTATTATTTTCTTCAACCCGTACAGTACTAATACAAGGAATGCCACTTGGTCCAGCATCCATCTTTCGTACCATTTGTACAAATGCGTCGCTGAACGAAGGTGGTAGGCTCCTGTGGATATTACAATAATTAGGATGCATATAATTATGGTCTAATATAAAGAAATCATGACACAAAGACGGACAGTACAGTACATACACATAGTATATTGTGAATTAAGGACGATAAATAAGAACTTATCGAGTTCTTAGGTTTTCGCGATTGTTACACATAGGAAATGAAACTATTTTTCCGGATTTAAATCGCGTATATTTGTTTTTTCAAACAAACCGACGTTTCGGGCCCTTTACAGGTCCCATGGTTACGGTTGACTGAGGTATCTATATGAGGTATAACGAGTATCTATTAGAAGCCAGAAGCCATAAGCCATACCGTCCATGATACGTACAATGTTTTTTAACACTTTTGCGAGGAAATAAATGCAATATAATTGGTTCACAACACATCAATTACGGGTTTAGTAAATGGCGGGCGTTTTGTTTTTTTTATTATTTATTCTTCGATAGATAATACAACTCGAACTAAAATGTTGTCAAAAGCATGTAAAAAAATATTACAGAAATCATTGACTTACAATTATATGGACGTCGGGTCCGCGCTAAAAAGTGTCCGCACTTGTAAGGCGTTAAAATCGTATACAGAGCGTCAAACTCCGCTTTAGTCTTCATTTGTTCGACTGACAGCGCGATACTGCGATGACATTACAATTTAAATTTCGAATAGGTTGACTTGGGACATTTTTTTTGTGGTTTTTGTATTAGACCCGTCGTCCATTTATTTGTAAGTCAATGACAGAAATGCGAAATTTTAATACAGTAAATAATTAATATCAATTATTTATAAAAAAATTCTTAATTAAATATTTAATTAGTATGTGGCTGAATTGCAATTAAATCTCTGTTTAGATAACATTTTAAGCGAATGCTTTGAACTTAAGTAACCTCGCTTGACCTTGAACCTGACGTGTTAAGAAAGTATGTCGTTCTCAGTGACTTATTTGGGGCATTATATAGCCAAGTTAGCTACGTGTTTCTTTGAAAATTTCTTCGACTCGATGGGGAATTCACCATATGTGTTTTTGTTATATAGGTCGTACTGGTTTTCGACTTTCGGCGACGTAAGTGACACCTAGTGAGAGATTTTAGAAATCTCCGACCCATTAGTCAACAATTCGAGCAATAAACGTAGTCAGTAAGCAGTTGAACGAGTTTTTCATTCTGATCCTGAACAAATACGCTGCCCTCGGAACGAAAAAAGGCACAACTGCCTTTTTTCGTTACGAACCAGACCATCGACAAATACCTAGGGTTTGATATAAACAACTTACAACTTCCCCATTTGTCATAATATACCGATTGTTTTAAATATTGGCTAAAGACTCACCTTTGCTTTCTATAGCTAATTCAACATAATGCGATATCAATTTAGACGGCGGTTCCGGACGATTGTTGAAAAGTGTCGACAGATATTTCGCTCTGTTGTAGTATCTGGAATGATAGGAAGATAAAGTTCATTGGTGACTTTTGTTGCACCGCAACGTGTTACCTTTTGGGCATAATTCGCTCTGAGCCACGACCTATTTGGCTTGCTGCAGTACACCCAAGCTGTTATTCATGACGTCAGTATTTTGTTTTTATGATTTTTGATATTAATACGTACACACTCAACACAGTCCCGCACTATGGAAACCCTGCGTCGCGGGTGCCATGGACACACACATAGACAACCACAAATTACACCAAAACTCACGAGATAAATAAATGTAGGCTATACAAATATTTCTCTCGGCCCGAGAATCGAACCTTGGGACCTCTGCGTGGCAGCATGGTAACCGTTCGGCCACGGAGGCAGTTAAATATTATTATTATTTAAATTTTTGTTTCTTTCATTTTGATTTCTTGTTATATATATATATATATATATATATATTAATTTTTTGTTATTATATCAAGTGACGAAACGAACAAGTCCTGCGCCTGATAGTAAGGCTACACGCCTGTCCATAACAGTTGCAGTGCCACTCAGAGCTTTAAATCGCATAAATCTGAGAGGTACTGTCTCGACGCCCGTCACCCTGACACACAAGTTGGCAAGTCCCAAGTGCTTGTAATTTAACCAGCACCCTTACCCTTCAAAACACAGTAATGCTGAGATTACTGCTCGGCGGCAGAAACAGGTAAGGTACTGGACGAACTCTTTCACATAGCACTCTACTGCTACTAAATCCATTTACGTACTACATTGTTGTGCGTGTGATGCAAGATAATTAAAGTTTTATCTATCTATTGTGGCCCAGAACGTAGCCACGCTGAACGCGTCACTAGTAGCCACCATTACAGAAAGCTGGGTAAAGGTAGATGGAACTCCTTCGCGCCAACGGGTCGCCTGAGCAAGTTCAAATAGATTTAAGAGGAAGCATGCCAAAAAAGTTTTGACGTTGGCTCCGCCCAAATTTGTGAAACAAATATATGCCTGAAGTTCGCGTGACTTGCGACAGGAGATGTTGAATTTTGCGCATTAAAAGTACCAAATTCGTTTTAGCGGAATAACTCTAAAACTAAAGGGATTAAAAAAAATCCGTAGTGACAATTGTCGATCATGCATAAATATAATTAATTATCTAATTTTTGTCCTAATAACCTGTAGCATTTCGAGGATAAATCGAAAAAATGTGAAAATTAGAAACTTTATTGTTTTATGTTTCTGATTAATGTCTATGCCTGAATATATCGTGTAGTTACTCATACAATATTTTATTTTTAACTTTAAAGTGGATATATCCCTCTAAAATTAAATCGAAGATTAGGAATTTTTCCTCTCCTCCTCTTAAATATTAGAAAAGAAATTTGATTTTAATCTAATTTACAGTGATCTACCAGAAAATACATTACAGACCTGGCTGGACTATTGGTTTTTACTATGGGCTGAGATCCCGGTAGGGGAACACCAATTTACGTATCGAACTCATCTGAATGATCTCTAGTTTGAATATTCTGGGTAATGTCACCATAGTCTTCCGATCAGAAGAAATTTAATGCAAGGGCTCACCTATCATTACCCAACATTTCTTTCAAAGCTATCTCCAATTTTGGAGCTAATGTCGGTTCATATGGCACTACTCGTGCAAACCCAGCTTGTTCGGCTCGACGTGCATTGCCGGGCTGATCGCCGAAGACGGGAACAGCGAGGAGAGGGACTCCGTACTGGACTGCTTCAATTGTACTAAGGCCACCACTATGGGTTATAAATAGGCGAATGTTAGGATGCGCTGAAACAATTAAGAATAAACATAAACGATGACGATCATTATCTTAAATAAAACTGAGTGGGGTTACGTGTGTGTGTTGCTTCAGGATAGGTGAGACTCTTCAATGAAGTTATTTATTTGACGTGCTATGAGAATATTCAAGAAAATGAGATGAGAATATTCAAGAAATATAAAAGAAAGAGATGGCAGTTCATATAGCGTTATTTCTTTCCTACTTTTAATAAGGAATAGAAAATATTGGGAAATCATTCGTTCTTTCAGTCACTTTAGAAATGTTTGTCATGGTACGAATATGAGTAATATTATAATAAGCTTAATATAAGCTTACATTGAAATAAGATTGTGTTTTGAAAGGTTATGGTAGGCATCCTGGATTGCGCGCGATAAAACCTGAACGAAATTACTTGTCTGAATTTTTAAGCTAACGTACGCGTGCGATTGGTCGTGTTCGTTACAATAAAACGAGCGTCCTTGTAAAGCCTAATGACGCAGGATAGACCGCGTGAAACTGGCGCGTGTTGGAGTGCAATCTTTTCCTTGTCGATGCCCTTTTCCTTCCAACGTCTTTAAACGTTTGCTGTATCACGCGCGATAGAGCCTCTGTGTAAACCCGTTAATGAATATTCAAAGAATTGATAACTAAGGCGATTAACACACTGTACCGATGCGCCCGCGATCCGCGTCAACGCGCGGTTTAAACTGCGCGGGGGCAGCGGTCTAGCGGCCCCGCGCCACGGAAAGTACTCGCTTCGTAGTTGATCGCCGTAGTGACTTTACATCTAGATGAGATCCTTCTTTGACAAAAATGGTTAATAATACTGAACTCATTCAGGTCGCTGCAGTTATACTATTTGGTTTCTGTTTACTTAAATAAAAAGACACCGAAGATATTGGATACAACCCTTTTTACGAACCAGATCGATAAATGGATAATTTCAACTTCATTACAAAGATTTAAGAAAATATGAAGAAAAATTTGGTCGATTTTCAATTGCAAATATAAATTTATCGACGTCGATATCTATTTATTTATTTAATAGTTTATTGTACAGGAAATATACAACAAGTCACAAAGAATACAAGCGAAATTAAAAACAAAAGGTTCTGCTTATTTCTAATAGAAATTTCTTCCTGCAGACCTAAATACAGGACACTATAACTAAAAGAACGGGCATATGTGCACAACAAAACAAAAAATAATAATATAAAAATATTAAATTGTTTTAATTATATAAATACTTAGATAAATACATATTTTATAATATAATACCTAAGATATGGATGGAATAGTAGATAAATAATATAGATAAATATCTATTGTAAAAAACTAAATATGTCCTTAAGTTTAAAAATCTGCGCGGCAGTGCCGCGATTAGTGTGCTATACACTGCGGTTCGCCGCGGCCCTCGGCGGGGGGGGGGCGCGGTGCAGCGTGATAATAGCCTAAACCATAATGTTGTAGCTACAATCAGAAGTAATTTATTTTCATTAGGTTGTCTATCTTCATATCGTAACGATGACATTAATCCTTGCCATGGAACCCAGTGTGTAATAATACTCGTATAATCACAATACAATCAGTAGTTACTGACAATCGCAAATGGATGGAAGCTTAATGTTTTAATCTCTATAAAAAACGGCAAGACAAACTATTGTTTTCGACACCAAAACAGAATTGTATTACCAAATCCAACCCTGTCTCTCCATTCATCAAGTCCATTTGTATAAAAAATCTATAAAAATTTATAATAAGTTCGCAAACGCCATAAGAAATATACCCGGCGACAACAGTTTTACATCATATTTGAAAAAAATTTTAGTAAGTAAAAGTTACTACAATGTAAGCTAATATTTAAACGATAAACAAATATGTTCCTATTAAAATAATGAATGTAAACAGTGTATTTAGTTGACATACAAGTATAAATAATACTAGGCATGCTTACTACAATATTTTGTCATTATTATGGAATTTTATTTTCTTTGTTGATAGCTTAAATAGATATTTATTAATCTTTCAAAATAATAATATAGTATTACAATAGTTTTTATTTGATTATTTGATTTTATTTGTTAAATGTTGCCCTCGCTGTGTGTTTTTGCTGTGCCCAATAGCGTCCCAAAACTCTAATTTAAGCGTGTCCTGCTACATTGTAAACTTTTGAGAATGCAATTGAGTATTAAAAAATTGTAAATACATTAAGAATTTGTGTGACATGTGAAATTTAATATGTGTGTGTTTTATGACATATTACACAAGACAATTGTAATTTATATTTAATATAAGTAAGTACATGAAACTATCTCCAGTTCTAAAGCAGCTAGAGCAGTGTGTTGCTTTTCAAGGATCGTGACCCATTCAAAAATAGATCCCTTTTTTATTTATTACTACGAATTTTTCAGAAAATGCTAAATTTTATTGTGATTGGGTTCCAAGCTTTGGGATTAGAATTATCAAATGACAACATTGGGATGGTCTACGATTGATCAACTTTGGTCGGCAGACGCTTTTAAGGTTTTTCAAACCATCTTCCTGATGAATTAGACGCTTTTAGATAGGCCACTATTGTAGAAAACCACAGCGAAAAATTGAGTTAATGCAAGTTATGCAAAAATTACTTTCGAGAACTCGAAATTATGCCCGATATATGAAACCAAGGGGCGATGCACCATATAAACTGCTAATTGCTGATCTGTATACCTGTGGTAGGTGAAATATATGTGAATGCTTACCTAATATCTTGGCTTGCGGCCACCAACTCCTCACATGAATGTTCTTTGGCAATACCGCGGGTACTTCATCTAGTTTCCATAACACTGTCATTTTCAATGACCCGAAAATTTTAATTAAATCACGTATCGTCTCTTTTGGGATTGAAGATGGTTTTATTACTGAACCCATGCTGAAGTAAACCACTCCGTGTGGAGAGTTGTCCATTATTTCTTGAAGATCCTGTAGAAAGAGCACATATGCGTCAAAGTTTAAAAAGGCTTCGAAGACATGCGAAGTTGCGTCGGGTCAGAGATCTAGATTAGGCTTGGGACAAACAATTCATTTTTCAGCAGTACTTTCAATATTATATAAATAGGCCGAATATTGGGATAGAGCTATGTCCACCGTGTACGATCGACTCTAAATCCCGTATCTTGTGACCCTGGTCCACAGGTTTCGAAAAATATTCGATTATTTTAGAATTTTGATCATTTTTGTTTGACACAAAAACGGGCAAAATTTGACTTTCATGTTTATAATTTTAGAGACTTCAGTAATTCAAATATACTCAGTCTGCAACTGGCAATATTATTGTTGCCTCATTCGTTCTTACGTGAAGTCCGCAGGCTCCAATTCACCATCTCATTCGGTTTATTAGGATTCATTCGGTAGAACCTTGCGTTCGATCAACCGAGCGCTCAAATGCATCGTGAGGGACGAGTCACTGATGATAGAACATATGATCGAATCATTTGACATTAAACACGGGTCATGATAAACCGGATCACCAGGATTGATCGATCGACACAGGTCTATGAGAGATGTTGTATTCGCTGGCACTTTTTGAACTTGCTAAAATTTCTTAACTTTCATTTGTAATAATGCTATCTTTCAGCTCATTTTCCTATTAGCATACTGTGACACACGTACCTCTTCGGAGTTACCAACAACAAAACATTAGGTTAGTTGCAGTTTTCTCATTTCCTCTTACCCCTATATCGTTGCCAGATGCAGAGGTGAAATCATGTATGCTGCTTTTACAAAAGGCTTCAGCAGTGGTATACAGATACTGGATGTGAATCGTGAAGAGAATCCTTCTTAAAACCGAGACATTTTCCAATCTGTGTTTGACCAGCGTTCGACTATGATCAGAAATTTAGTAGCAGTAGAGCTCCTTGTAGAACTATTCATACAGGGATGTACTGCCCTACCTTACCTATTTCTGCCGCCAAGCAATGTGAGCATTACTGCATTTTGGTTTTGAAGGGTTAGAGTAAAATTACAGGTACATGGGAATTGTCTACTTATGTCTCAGGATCACTAGTGATCTTCAGATCTTTGTGATTTAAAATTCTGAGTGGCACAGCAATAGTTATGGACAGGCGTGTCGCTTACCATCAGGCGCACGACTTGTTCGTCACGTCGTATCACAAAAAGACATTTAAGGATTAAACCCCCTGTTTGAAGGACTTTCGTCGCAGCAATATGTTCATTCGTTCAGTATCTACAGGATTGTCAAAATTCTTAAAGGCGGTGGATAAAATTCTCACCTGAGGTAAGTGAGTATCATCATCAATATGGTATCCAGCAACATGAATGACGTTGGGTGGTAGACTCTGCGCCGGAGCGATGGAAGGATGAGAGTTGAGCATCAATATGGATATATTAGATGTAGCTTCCCCGAAAGGGGGTAGATCTACCCCTCTTGCTTGAGCTAGAGAGGAGAAGTGATATTCGTAATAGGATGCGTCAGTCACTGCATTGTACCTGTAAAGTATCAAATTTTCTTTATTAACAGTTTATTAGAAGAATATCACGTATGACGGTGGATAGACTGACGAAGCGCGTCTTCTACTCTGAACTTGAGGAGGGTAGGTGGAACCCTGGCGATCAACTCCTCAGGTATAAAGATGTTCAGAAGCGACATATGAGAATTTGCAACATAGAGCCGTCTCAAAGACATGGGCATAGAATGGTTTACTCGGGCAATCGTACCTCAGCATTTTACCACAGAAACTTTTACGTAATGTCGGTCAAGACATACAACAGCATGCCGAATGAATTTAAAAAATTTGAGTACGTAAAATTTAAAAATGCTTTTAGTAACTGGTTGAGTACAAAACTTTATTATAGTGTACAAGAGTTTTTTGACGATAATGACAAATTTGGAGACTAGCGATGTGACATGTTATAAATAATTGTTTTTTTTTCTTTCATATTGTAATTCAATTCAATTTAATTTTAATTTTAATCTCTGACATTTAACAATATTGTACACCTTAACTGGTAAACTATAGAGCACAAACCAATGTACTATTTTAAGATCATATGTAATTACCTATAGTTATGCAATAAATATATTCTTATTCTTATTCTTAAATGGGATGATTTGGCAGCACTGCGCCCTAAATGCGGGGTATTGTAAAGAGGCAAGTCCACGAGTTTGAAGAGCACTAACCTTAAACTCGACGCGAAACATGACGAAATAAAGGACCGCCCACCCTCCGCTATTAACTGCAATTACGTTGGCGGCATGCCCTCATCGTACACGAGGTTTCAACGCGAAAATTTACCAAAATTACCGGCCATACCACCACACCACTCGCTTCGCTTGTGGTTCAATCTTAGCTTCCTTCGATTACTCAATGCTTGTATTAACTCGCGTCAAATAACAACAAATAACTATTCTTGCATTTTTTGAGCATTGTCTCTAGCTCTCATTTCTCATTCTCATGTCAAGTCATTCTAGCTCATCTCAAGTCATTTCTAGCTCATGGCTCAATGAGCCATAAGCTAGAAAGGTAACAAATTATAGTAATTAAACTAATGTTGTACTTCTTCAAAAAACCGAAATGCTTTCTATAAAGATGGCTGCTTGAGTAGTAATTATGACCGAAGGTATTACGTGACCGCTGCGCGCTGCGCCACTAGAATATACTATTTTATTTTACCTTCAATGTAGTTTTTCGCAAATGTATTAAAAAACGTCGTTTATACACGTGCGGATTTGTCATTTTCACTTGTCTCGAGTCTTGACTCGAGAAGAAGCCTCGAGTCTCGTGAATAATGACTAACTTTCCGCACTTGTATCAAAAATAACTATTTACACGCTAGCGTGCAAAAAACGGTTTTGCGCGCAGATTTCTAATGAGAAAGAAAGCCTTTCCGAGGTAGTGAGATGAAAAAATATTGGTTAAAATGTACGCTGTACTTGGCCAGTTCTATTCTATCTCTTCGGTTTTTTGTTTTGAAGCGTTTGTTTGGCCTTCGTCGAAATATATGAAGAGGCTGTATGGTGGAACCTTTGCCTACCCTAGTAAACGGGATAAAATTTATTTAAAAAAATGCGTTTGTTGTCATGGATTGTTAACATAACCTAACCTCAGTACAGAGTACTAAGAAAACCGACCTCAAAAGTCATTCATCCCCTAGTTTACCGCCCTTAGAGGTCGAATATTTTCTTTAAATTTAAATGGGACCACTTCTGAGATACCCTCTTTCCAACAAAAAAAAAGAATCACTAAAATCGGTTCACAAATTTTCCGCCGGAGCCAGAGTTATCACGTAACATACATACAAAAAAAAACAAGAACATACGGTCGAATTGGGAACCTCGTCCTTTTTTTTGAAGTCGGTTAATAATTTAAATTGTAGAAAACATTGACTTACAAATAAATGGACGACGGGTCTAATACAAAAACCACGAAAAAAATGTCCCAAGTCAACCTATTTAAACGTAGTGACATGTCAAGGAATATGACAAATCTAAAACGTGGAATTTAAATTGTAATGTCATCGCAGTACTGTCTAATTTTGCTTGCTTCGCTGTCAGTCGAACAAACGAAGACTAGAGCGTGAATGACGCTCTGTATACGATTTTAACGCCCTATAAGTTTGGACACTTTTTAGCGCGGACCCGATGTCCATATAATTGTAAGTCAATGGTAGAAAATGAGATTCTCCACCTTTTCCCGTTCCGTTTAAAAATAGAAGGTTTAGCACACCTCCATTCACACTTTGATAGCGACAATTCATGACATTTCTTTGTTTACATTTTGGACATCTAATTGTGATATACTATAATCACCTCGATGTGTGACACCGTATACTCACCACATCAATCCCATAAAGAACATATTTGTCATAGTATTGCTCAGCCGTTGCCAAAAATTCATAGGCATCGAGAATCCACTGAATAGTGACGGCACAGTTGTAGATGAGCGAAAGTCGTCCACGAGACTTTCAAGATGAATAGGTATGGGACCGGGGAAAAATAGTATCCAAGGGACTTGTTGTATTGCTGCGTAACTGAAATTTAAATTCAATTGTTACAATAACGATGGAGGCGTGGAAGAAGAAATCGCCGTAGTTATAAATAGGTACAAGTAATGTTAACAGCGTTTCAAATTAGATTTTTTTTTATAACATCAAGTAACGGGACGAACAAGTCGTGCGCCTGATGGCATGCCACACGCCTGTCCATAACATTTACAGTGCCACTCAGAGCTTTAAATTGCAAAGATCTGAGGGCACTACCAGTGCTCCCGTCACCCTGAAACATAAGTTGACAAGTCCCATGTGCCTATAATTTCACCAGCACTCTTACCACTCAAAACCGGAGCACAGTAATACTGACATTACTGCTTGGCGGCAGAAATAGATAAGGTGGCAGTACTACCCTGGACGAACTCTTTCACAAGGAGCTCTACTGCTACTAAATGATATATAGATGCTTATGAATGCGCTGTAGTGACGCTATTAATTGTCATATCGCACTGCTATTACAATGAACCTATACATAAAAGTTTTAATGATCTTTCACAGAATAGCGTATTTACTCAAAAATTGTATTGACATTGCTATATGATATTTAGATGCGCAGTTGTAGCGCCACAGTCATGACATGCGCGCTCCACTTTTGCAGTCCCAGTTAGTGAACTAAAAGTATAAGGAGAGCAGGGTAACCTATCACAAACTCGAATTTCTTTTCTCCGATTTTCAATACTCGGAAAACGGTTCGACTTTTTTCATTAGTGCGATGACAGTTTTGGTATAAATTTGTAACACAGAAATGTCTTACAGCAGTGGTATCGTTTGTCCGAAAACCTATTATTAGAATATATTATTACACATACATATTCTTTGGGCAGAAGTTTGTTTGGTCTAATCATGTTTGTTATACTGTCTGTTTTCCATATAATTTAGATTGCTGAAAATTCGTTACGACAAAATTATTATTCTTAGAAAAAATTGTGCCGCCATACAATTTTACCTTACAATTACAAAATTCTGGACTGTACTTTGCTGGTGCACTGCAAGTTCCAGTTACGTAATTTTCGTCATACCATTGTGCTATGTTTTTTCTGTCATCTGAAATGTAATATATAACGTATAACGGAATCGAGGCGAGTACCAGACCCGAGTTTGTTTGCATTTCCTAGCTGGCTCGATCCACTCCTGTGGGTTTAGGTTACGTTAGTATATGAAAAAGCCGCACGAGCCGAGCGAGCAAAGCGAAGCGGGCGACTACAACTCGATCAAATTGACGCGAGGTGCGTAATTTGACGAGTTGTATTGTGCGACACGTTCTAATACATTTTATATCTGTAATAAGAAATAATACAACAAAAATGTATTACATATGGATATCGTTTTTTCACAAAATAAAAATATTTAATTGGTCAAACGGTTTGTTGGGGAAATAAAAATCTGGAAACGAATAACTGTGTCAAAATAGTGAAACATTAAATTGTGTAATGAAAAAAACCGTAACGAGTTTTCGGACAAATTAAACAAAATCGATTCAATAAAAGTTTGAAGGTTTTCGGAGAAAGAAAATTCTGTAAATCATGTTTCTAGCTTGTGATAGGTAACCCTCGGTGGGACAGCTGACTGAAAGCTCTAGAAACTTGTAGGGATTTGTGAATGTTCCCACCTTGCAGGATAGGTTTGTTGTAGGCCTATCTATACTGCTCTCCGGTTACCTATCCCTATAAATTTCTAGAGCTTTAACAAATAATTTATTAATTAACAAAATATCTTAACTGTCTTATCCTATGGTAATGAATACTTCGTAAGCGCGTTTCAGGACACATAGTAACGCCAACTATTTCTGGCAGGCCGTAAAAAATTGCAGTAGTAGCGTTATTGGAAATGGAATTTTAAATTCTGGATTTAAAATCGATGGTCACTCCGCGAGGAGTGACAGTTTATGTCAATGTCGCGGTACACACGAGATAATTTCAACAAGATTTTTCTGACGGTATTTTTTAATAATAATAATAATAATAACGCACACACTCATCATAGCCCCGCACTAGGGAAACCCTGTGTCGCGGGTGCCATGGACACACACATAGACAACGACAAATTACACCCAAACTCACGAGAGAAATAAATGTAGGCCATACAAATATTTCTCCCGGCCCGGGAATCGAACCCGGGGACCTCTGTGTGGCAGTCCGGTATGGTAACCGTTCGGCCACGGAAGCAGTTAAATAACAAGTATTCAATAACAAGTTGATTGAAAAAAGTGCAGAATGGCTAGTCTATTCATTTCAATTATCAATGAAATAGTTTTTTTTCTGTTACCGTTACATAACAACAATGATTAATTTGGTAGGCACTTTTTTTTTAATCGACTTGCTGAATATCGTCAGAAAAATCTTCCTGTGTGCAGTACGACATAGCTGATGTAAATTGTCACTCCTGCACCGCGGAACTACCTCAGGAGGCCTACCATAACTTTCTCAAAAACAATCTTATATATATATATAATATTACTCATATTCGTACTACAATATTTGACAAACCTATCAACCAAGTAATGTATTATTGCTAAAGTGACTGAAAGAACGAATGATTTCCCAATATTGTCTATTCCTTACTAAAAATAGGAAAGAAATGACTCTATATGAACTGTATAATGCCATCTCTTTCTTTTTTGATGTTCCGAATCGTCCTTTCGTAGTATAATGTAAAAGTATTTAACATTATTTACATTCAGAGAATTTTAACTGCCAAAAAAAGAAAAGTATGTAATAATGAAATCTATGCAAATTACGTTGTTTTCAATTATTTTTCCGCATTTTCATGAAGAAAAATAAATAAAACAAACTGAGTCTTGATAGTCACGTTGTGAATTCGGAATTATAGTCTAGTGTCAACTGTTAATTTCGCCAAGGAGCAAATAGATGGCGCTGTCATAATTTTACGAAATAAACATCGCGTATTTTTATTTAACAAGAAATTATTTTCTATGTGCTATTAAATAAAAAATAAACAAAATATTGAAAAGATATATGGAAATAAATAAGTTCAACTTAACTTTTAATCATTACAAATCAATATTATGACAATAAAACTGAAAGTAATATTGTTTCCATTGCATCCGTGTAACTATTATAAGATTGCTAAATTTGACATAAGAGCAATATTACTTTAATGTCAAAGTCGCGTCATAGTACGAACTGAGTGAATGAATAGTCACAAAGCTAACAATAAAACATCATAGTTTTAACATTACAATAAGCTTACTTTAAACGCTACATGGTACATAAAGTCAATGTAAGATTAAAGGAATATTGTTTTAAGAGGTTGTGGTAGGCCCCCAGGAACGGACTCAGTGAAGCGGTAGGCGTGTAGGTTTTGTTATGGGGCAGCCGACACATCCCGGACGCACTATGCATCTCGCGGCAGCCGTATGAATTAAATTTATAATTTTAATAATTGATAAATGTAATCGTAACTCACCCTGCAGGTGTATCTGTGAAGAACCACTCAGTTATAACAGCGTCAAATTGTTGCGTCAACAAAATATCTCTGAACTGCTTATTTTCCGTCATAATAGAAGTGACATTTCTCCCAAGCTCAAGTAACATTGATAAAGATTGCCTGTTGGTGCTGTCAGTCATGTCTATTTCTGGAGAAAACAAAAATATATTAACTAAAAATAACGGATAACTCACGTATTTAAGTCGTTTATTTAATCTCTTTTCACCAATGTACCGGTAGACGAAATAATTAAAATTATCTCGGACCTATTAAGTGCCACAGATTTTCCTGCCGTGTATATAAAATCAATTGAGTTTTGTCTGAAAAGTGGGTATTTGGTATGGCACGGTGATTACTACTTACGAATTGATGGAGTGGCCATGGGTTCACCAATTGCTTCCGTAACTGTTAACATCGTCATGGAGTGGTTAGACTTAGAATAATAACGCATAGAAATCTAGTCCGCACAAGCTAAGTGAGGCAAATTGAAGCGCGCCAAAAGGGCCTACACGAGCGGGCGGGCCTTCAGTGCTCAAGGTCAACTTGCACCGCGAACAGCTCCAGAATTTTAGCTAAAAATGACGAAATGTGCGGTAAATGAGTGTAAAAATACGTCAGACAAACATAAAATAGATACTAACATCACATTCCACAAGAAAGTAACGCGTTTCAACTTGTATTTTTATATAAATATTCACTAAAACCGAAAATTAACCTAGTACTAAAACTGAATTTGATTTTTGCCTCACTTGTGACAGTTCGTTTGATTTGAAACTATCATTCTATGCGTTATTATTCTAAGTGGTTAGAAGAAAAAGCTTCAAAAAACGCCTCTGTAACACCTAGATATTGGTGGCGGTATGTGGATGATATTTTCGCTATTATCTCGAAAAATAGTTTTCCGGAATTCTTTGACTACCTCAATTCTGTGTACGATAAAGTTAAGTTCACGGTGGAGAGAGAAAGTGAAGGAGCATTGCCATTTTTGGACGTTTTGGTTATGCGTCAATCTTGTGGTCGTTTGTTTACTACAGTTTACCGTAAGCCGACGCATACCGACCGGTACCTTAGCGCAGATTCACACCATCATCCATGCCATTTATTAAGTCGACCCTTAAGTCTGTGTGATCCACAATACGTGAACCTGGAACTAGATCATGTTAAACGTGTATTGGAAAGCAACGGCTTTAACTGGAGGCATTGTAATCGTGTCGTGAACGCGTTTACTCGTTCTCGTCCGGCGGTAGTGGAGAGGCTGCCGATATACTTACCTTACATAAAGGGAGTAACGGATAAAATCGGACACTTGTTTCGCCGAAGATATAGCATCAAGACGATTTTCCGCCCTCACATCCAACTTAGACAGTTGGTGCGTTCACCGAAGGATAAGGACCCATTGAATGTTCCCGGTGTATATAAGATTCCCTGCTCCTGTGGCAAGAGTTACATAGGAGAGACCGGCCGTAACATATCCACAAGCCTAACGGAACACGTACGTAGTATTAAGAACCGGGACAATCGGGGCTCTGCAGTGACGGAACACTCGTTGGATTCGGATTCGACGCACTATATTCGTTTTGATAACGTGTCCGTACTGGCGAGAGAAAAGCATTTCATTCCGCGGAAAGTACGTGAAGCTGTCGAGATTGGTCGTCGTTCGAATTTCAATCGTGATAGTGGATGGTCGGTAACCCCCGGCTGGAAAACCGTGTTAGGTACTACGTCAGTGGTTAGTGTAGACGAGACTTTAGAAAGTGACGTTGTTAGTATAGTGTGCAATCCTGCATATACTTTAATAAAAATGAAGCAAACGAGGGTAGTTTCTCGCCGACGCCGCCTGCGCCCGCTGCCGTACTGAGTGATCGGGCTGCCAGTTTCCGTCGAGTCACCGCCGCGGAATCTCATGATTAAGAACCACGAATTGGTTCGAACAATGTCGAGCAAAAATTCGATTTAAATACGTGAGTTACCCGTTATTTTTAGTTAATATGTCTGAGTCTCCCGGTGGTTTTCTATTTAAAAAAAACGAAAATAAGTAACCTTGATATAATAAAGCTATATGTGATCATACGTTATAGATCAATTATTGTCACAAAAATTTTAAATACTTCTAATTTTTCTACATATCATTGTGATAAATGATAATGATAACGAATGCAAATAAATTTATCATATCATATCATCTTCATAAATATTTTTCTTAAAGAAGTTCAAATATAAGGAGAAATTTGAAAAAATACTTGCTTTTCCGAAAAAGTTTTTTTCGAACACGGATATTTTTCCATCAAAGCTCAATTTGCATTACCGCGGAACGGAATAGAAAATGAATTTTTGTGATTAAATTCTACATAACATAATGAAATTAATGTCGTTACACAAACGTACAAACTACGTACAGTTACCATGCCGGATTGCCACGCAGAAGTCCCAGGTTCGATTCCCGGGCCGGGAGAAGTATTTGTATGGCCTACATTTATTTCTCTCGTGAGTTAGGGTGTAATTTGTGATTGTCTATGTGTTTGTCCACGGCACCCACGACACAGGGTTTCCCTAGTGCGGGGTTATGTTGAGTGTGTACGTATTATTATTATTAATTAAGCCTAACAGCGCCGAAAAAAATTAGACGCTTATAGAAGCATGGCGCAAGAGTCGCACCATTACTAATTTTATTTAGAAGCACGGCCACCATCACAGCCACATTTGCAGACTAGATAATGTATGATATATATAATATACGATAAAGTATCCTCGGTTCAAATTCTTCGTTTGCTCGATTTGCCAGGCTCGTCAATGCTCTACCTCTCGAATTGGATGTCGATATCTTCACAGTCTCATTGCCTCGCTTCAAGAAGTCAATATTGCAATTTTTGGCATATAAGTGAATATTATTTGTAATGTATATTATATTTATTTTATAATTTAATTTGTTAATACAGTAAATATATGTAATGTAAGTACAGTAACAAAAAATGAATAGCAAATTAATAATAATTGTCTTAACTTTCATACTCATATCATGTCATGTTCACCTGTAATTGGTTAAGCATTTTAACTGTAACACCTTGTCAAATGTGTGTAAAGTATTGTTGTAACCGAATGTATCAAGCGTTGGTGAATTTAAATAAATAAATGATAATTAGTAGTTCACATCTTCTATAAGCGTCTAAGTTCAAGACGGTAGCGTAAAGCGCAGACCACACCGCGAACATAGCTAACTGCTATTGGCCTACATTTTGTCTTTGACAGTATGTATAGTGTTGGTGAATTATATTCGAGAGTATTTGGGAGTATGTGTGCGAGAAGTGGACTGAGAATAGTCCAATACTTAGTACTACTTAATATTAAATTAGTTTTTTTTCTTTTCTTTGCCTCTTTCTTTTTTTGTCTTCCTCTTTGGGAGTATCTATGAGAGGAGAGTTTACAAGAATAGTTATTTGTACTTAAAGCTCACGTAGTAGGTAATTGGTGATTACGTGCGGGAGTGATGGGCGGCAGAAGGGTGACATATTTTTTAACATCGCTTAGCGGGATCTTTGGGTTAGTTTAGTTAGCTCGGTTAGCTTCGTTCGCAGTGTGGCCTGCGTATAAGACAGTGTTGCGTGGTCTACTGATTTGTCGATCTACTATTTAGGCCGACGTCTACTGTTTTACTGATAATTAACGACAATCATCGAGTATATAACCAAAAATAGAGACGAAATATCATTTTTTTTATTTGAAAACTATTCTGCCATATCATTACTATAACAAGTGTAATCTATGGGTGTCGTCAATTGTTTTACTTTAAATCGATCAGTCAACTTGGGCTGTGCTATAATGGACTAAAATTGCAAAATAATATATTTAATATTTAATTGCCGATGAAATTTGATTCCGTTTGTTTTGTAATTAGACGTTTTGCTGTTTTTCCCCACACCACCGAATGGAACAGCACGCCATTGTTAGAGATGATCTTTATTACAATAAATACAGAATATATTTGGAATATACGGACACGTACACACAGGTCAGTTGTTGGCGCTGTCTATATTTCAGTGCAAACGAGAGTTGATATTTATAAGTCACTGATGAATTGCCAGAGATGGATGGCCCTTATTTCGTCTCTATTTCTGGTTACTCGATGATGACAATCTATTGTTTTTAGAAATTTATTCTGTTACAATCATGCCTTAAACAGAAAAGGTTTTTGAAATTCGGACTTGACTATGGACTGTTGTGCACTAAACTTTTTATTTCGATGAAAAAAAAAACATAATGACACACGTTCAACTACGCGATTTGCCGTACATTAGTTATGTAATATAACTTCGAAGGTAGCTATATAAATTTTATTCTACTGACATTAAATTGATTGAACGATAACTAATTTTGTTTATTAAAACTGATTTGTTTGACTATAGTTCAACTGTTTTTCTTTCACATACCATTTTCCTCGCTATAGTGAGGTGAAAATTTGTGTGTTTCGCTCGGCAGCAAAGTTGTTTTGCGTCTCGTGCCTTGAAACCCTCGCTATGTTCAGGATTCTATTTTTGAACCACCCGCTTGCCTCGTGGTTCAATACAAGCACTCGCGTCGAACAACATCTTTGCAGCCTTGCCTACCCGCTCACGCGATACATGCAGCCGTAGACGCATACCACACCTAGCGGTGCCGGTGATGAATTTATACCGATTTATCGCATATCGAAGTTATAACAGGTAAAAGAATTAATATTAATTGCTATTTCGGTAACTACTCTAGCAAACCATAAAGTTTTTAATACCTGGGTCTGTCATTTAAAAAAAATAAACAACTTCAAAAATACGTTTGAGTTATTGTTTGGGCTGGTGATTTCGGTGTTTATTTATTGAAAACATACCGTAAGTAGCGTTTTTTAAGTTTACCCTGAATATAAATGTTTATAAACTATACTTTAAGGAGTAATTTCATGGTAAACGTTAGAACCATTCAAACGGAATATTATCATATTTATCTAAGTACACCAAAAATTTCATTAGTGCTTTTTAAGTGCAGGATTTGCGGTGTATTACTGCATTTTATTTGAGATGTTTTTGTTGGTAGTACGGAGGGTATTTATTTAGCAATGCAGAATAATAATTTTTATTTATAAAAACTTGTATTTAAACTGAATGCTTTTCTAATTTGCGAAACCAAATAGCCGCCATTTTGCGGTAGGAGGAGCGCATCGCGTGAGCGGATAACAAATAACTATTGTATACATGCAATAGAAATGTTTTAAGTATTAAAGTTTATATGGGGTCAATAAAGAAATCATGTGAAAGGTGAAAGATTAGGGAAATGAGATTATTATGCATTAATTTAACCAATTATCAATATTTCAGCTGACGTCGGTCTAAAACAATCGATCAACTGTTAGTTAGTTCGTGTTATTAATAGAACCTGGCAATACTGGCGTAAAAGATGGTTATTATAGTCGTCACCAAATAAGACGCCAAATTTGACAGCTAAAGAAGGCGATAGTATGTAACTTTAAATGCGATCAACGTAACAATAATCAAACAATTATTACCATAATAGAGTTTTAAAAAATACGTATATTTTATTGAAACATTATATAATATGACAAAACATATTTGAAGTACTATTTTCGCTCGAATTCCAAAATAAATGCAATTTTGAGTTACCCCGAAACGTCCTGAAAACAGTTACGTTCTCAAGCTATGTTTTTTTAATAATAGTGTTGTAAGCAATTAGTCGCCGAATTTCACCGAGTCACTTCAATTTCTTGGAAAAAATATTTAAAAAAATATTACAAAAAATTAGGAACTTTATTTGAGATTGTTTGTTGTTGACATTTACAACTTCTAACTTATTGCCAGCCGAGTAATTGAAAATGTATGAAATCCTTGGTTTCTTGGTAATTTAATCTTTTTATGTAGTTGTTTTATCGATGAACATACTTATTTACACTAAATTCTCGTAATAAACCATTTATGAATATTACAAAATCAAAATTAAAACAATTCGATACAATTCATCGGAATGTGGGACAATTTTACGAAAATAAGAGGAATTGCTACAGAATTGCAAGGAATTCTGTAAATGAATTGCTTTTAACAGAATTGCACGATTTGGTCTTTTAGGCCCCCAGAACAACAATGAACCGAAAAATAATCTAAACAATCACAAATTCTTAAAATTTTGAATCGACTTCTCGTGAAAATCGTATAATGTGATTAGCGATATGATGTGGACTAACCACATCCCTATTCGCGTCACGATGACAAGTGTCAAATATGGCCTCTTATTTGGTAAACGACAACACCGTAAATAAATCACTTACTCTCCAGGAGACTTGTCAGACCACCAACATGTACCAACACTAAGTTTTTCTGAGGCTTGTTGTTGTCGAACGGAGTTACCCATGTTACCTAAAACATATTTATATGGTCAATTTTAACTACCCTTCGAAACGAACAACTCCATTATTGTAATTTTCAAGTTTTTATTGAATGTCACGATGTTTTGCTATCATGATATTCTATTATTTTTTGTGAAATTGCTAATAATAATTAATAAAAAAGATCGAACACTTAGAAAAAATGCCTTCGATCCGGCCGGATTCGAACCGATATCTTCTAACATACCGTGTCAAACGCTATGCCAACTAAGCCACGGAATGAACCAGCGGACCTTACGAATCGTCCTGTGCTTCATCAACATCTAGGTGTTATAAAAAAACTGTTATGGACAGGCATGTCGCTAACCACCAGGCCGCACGACTGTTCGTCCCATCTCAAATTTGATGTACCTTTTGGAGACTTTAAAAGAGCGAAGTTCATAAAATTATACATACAATTATTTAACATTGACTGGTCCCCGGTTCATCTGTCATCTGATACGTATAAAGCCGTTGAGATTTTCTACATCTTAATATATAATGTATTTGACTCTACAGTACCCTATAGGACCAACTCTGGGTCACGTAAATTATCTAATTTCTATCTCTGAGCAGATTAAACTTATAAAATTTAAAAAAATATTATCACATGTAGCACAAAATTACAAAATACGAACTTTATTACGCGTTTTTTTATTATTATCGGAAACAGTGCAAATTGCTAATTACAGTATGTAACCGTGCTTACATGAATAAAATTGAAAACATTATTAAGTTTAACCCGAATACAATTTGGTCTCATACAAAATCAAACAAGCAGCCGAGGGACCCCACTGTGTTTGGTATGTCCAATTCATATCAGTCGCAGATGATTTTGCGACATTCTTTCGAAGCGTGTACCTAGCGCCGGTTCCCGCATTAAATCCTGATGATGCCTTCGCTGCCGTGGCTGCGGCAATTCCCGAATCGTGCCAATTGCTGACCGATCTATATATAACGTGAATCTGACGTGTACACCGCGATGAAACAATTAAAGCCTAACATTTACTAGGCCGTTACTTCATATTACAAATTTGTCCATAAATCATAATACATATTCTAGAGTCTGGAAAACATCAAAAGTTCTACCCATAGATAAGTCAGGTTCAAAATCCGAAATTAAAAATTATCGTGCAGTGGCTGTCTTATCGGCTTTCGCAAAGGTTATGGAAACCATCATGTACAAGTTGATCTACGAACAACTTCGGGGATGGTTCTGTGATCAACAGCATGGATTTTTGCCGGGCCGCTCCACGGCTTCCAATTTGATTAACATTACCACCACTATTGCTGATGAGTTGGACTCCAAAAAGCAAGTGGACGTAGCTTACTTGGACTTTCAGAGGGCTTTCGATAAGATTGATTGTGATATTCTGCTTCGGAAATTAGTTTCTACCGGTTTCTCTGTAAACTTGGGCACACTTTTTGCGGACTATTTGGCAGACCGTCAGCAATATGTGCTTTACAACCGGTATCAATCCCAACCGTATACGGTTACCTCTGGTGTGGGTCAGGGGAGTTGCCTGGGACCACTCATGTTCTTGATTGTAGTTAATGACCTGCTGCTAACTGATGACGTCAAATTGGCCATAACCATTAAGTCGGAGGCTGACTGTGTCCTCCTCCAGAAGGACATTGATAGCGTCTTTGAATGGGGCAATGACAACAGTCTACGCTTGAACGTTGACAAATGTACCATTGTATCGTTTACGCGCACTCGCAAACAAATAATCAACACCTACAAAATAAAAGATACTCACATCAGCCGGGCTACATCTGTCAGGGATTTGGGTACATGGAACCATGTACTCAAATCCCGGGCTGACTTTCCGGGAACATATCTCAAAATTAAATAAATCTTCGCGTAAGTGTCTCGGCTATGTCATGAGACAATTAAGATCGTTCAAAAGTGATCTCACATCTCGTATTTTGTATAATAGTTTTGTTCGTAGCAAGCTAGAAAGTAACGCCATCATTTGGAATCCCACTCATTATAATCACATATCGACGTTAGAGAAAATTCAGAAGTCATTTGTTCGTAACCTTTATAGAAAGATTTACGATTTTTACCCCTTACTTTACCCCACTACTTTTATTTTGGGTATGGTCGGCTACAGAACGCTGGAAGTAAGACGCAATCTAGCTCTTATGACCTACATATTTCGCTTGGTGCGTGGAATCTTGTACAATCCATTCATACTATCCATGATGGGCTTTTGGGTGCCTAGGACCAGTCTGGTGCGGCCTCACAGAAGAAAGCTATTTGCTATACCTTCTACACGTTCTAGGGCAAGTGATCTGGCTCCTTTGCCCCGCGCGCTTATGTACTTCAATCGGATGCTTATCTTTGACTCCTCTTTGGACCTCTTTGCATGCTCAAAAGCCCATTTTACGGTTTCCGCGTGACGATATCTCGAGTCATTGACCATAGACAGTAGCATCACATAAGTATTGTGCATCCCGAATAATTAATACTATGTTAATGTTTTAAAATTTGATTGTTAATAATGTACTTGCGATATGTCCAATTCCATGATTTGTTGTTTTTATCTAATTTTTTATTCAGTTTATTTTATGCAATATATAAAATTCAATGATTTGTAAATTTTCATTCAATTTATTTTGTATCAATTCTTTATTAAATATGATTACATTATTATTTCAATATATGATATTAGCTTAAGAATTATTATTGTGTTTGGATATTACTGTAAGCAATATGTAATATAATAAATAAATAAAATTAAATAAATTGATATCATGAAAAATAATTGTTTTATATCGATGACAACAATTCTTACCTCATGTCCAGCTTTCAATAGAGATCGAACAACTCCCTCGGCTATGGTATTATGGCTTCTGCTAGGCACTTGAAAGATGACCAGTATCTTGTACGTGTGTGCAATTGTAAGGCAACTTAGCAAGAGAAGGATGAGCCTCATGGTTGCTGAAAAAGATAATAATATGATTTATATTCAATTGGCTTTGACTCGAACCCGGACCCCGAATCACAAACCTTCGATATTTTAACCGAATCGCTCGATTAGATATCGTTCTCGAATCGAAGGGCACTTTCCGAGCTGTTCAGAACATTAGCGTTAAACGTTATAAGATACGATATCGTTATCCAACAGCGTTTATGGAGTTAGTCGGTGAAACAGATTATAAAAAAAAATTAAAATCAAATCAAATTAAGAATTTAGATTCGAGTGTTTTGAATAAAAATGAAAAGAAATCGTACGATATCAAATCGAATCGGTCGACAACTGAGCTATCGTAAGGTTCTGAATCGACCTACTGATCACCAAGATATTTATATCTAATAATAATATAATTACAATAAGCCTGATGTATCCCACACCATTGCTGGGCAAATGCCTCTAATAATAATAATAATATGGTTTTATTACCATGATATTAATATTTTTGTGAATAAACGCCACTAGTTTTGGTGCCCTTATTGATTGA